AAATATCGGGCCCTTTTTAATGATGTCTGCATCAACTCAAACATAGTAATTGGGAATATTCAACAGCAAAGTATTTTCTGAAAAATGCAACGTAACTGTGCAGTGATACCCTGTTGGTCTTGGGGTGTAGAAAGAAAATATGTTCCTATACATGAAATGGGCAACAGGTCCTGACGTGATTATCTTTACTTTTAATTCAGGTCATTGATTTTCTGGGAAGAATGAACATTTTATATAACAATATATTAAATGAGAAAAAGCCAGACAACACTGATATCTCCCCAACACCCACGTCCTCCATAAATTAATCAACTTTAATAATTAGCACGACTAGAAAAATTATTTTTGATATTGGGGTGAACCCGTCCCCTTTATGCTTGTGATTGAATTTGCCCCAAAATCTCCTATCTTCCCTCATTTTTTCAAATTTGGGTGTCACTTGCCTAGCGACAAGTATTTCTTCACTTTTTACCATTTTTAAAATCATTGGTGTCTTTTTACCTTTGAATTTCCAAAGAATACAACCTTAAAATTCCAGTTGAAGGCAGCCTGGATCTGAAAAGAGTGCTGCAGGCTGCCTGCCACATCTACACACATCTATACACATACTGTTTATTACCCTTATTCACATGATGACTCACATTTGAGTAAATACAACAACCAGAAAAGGTTATTCTACTTCATTTCAGTATTATGTATTTATGTGTATAGAAGGTTTTTACTCAGACTTTTGATAAGTAAGAAGGTGTGGGGCTTATCTAACACATATGTTGTCCAAAAACCATTATTGGCTGGCACAGCTGTGATTTTTTATTTTAAATTTTTGAAAGTCTCGCCTTCAATCCTGAAGTTGGCCAGAACAGTCAAGTTTAAGACTTCCAGGGGAAGTAAATACACGCCAGCCAAGAAAAAATCTGGCAGACATCCTTTAAAAACAAAATGTTTTTTTTAGTTTTACAGTTAAAAAAGGTGTATGTGTGGGAGCAGTTAACTGTGTGTAGTTTCCTTGGAAACAGACCACAGATATTTCCACTTGTTTCCAGCGTAGGGCTTAGGCAATACATCAATCATCCCCAATATGTTGAACCCAATAATAAACACTTCAATATGGGTGGCAAATATTTGTCAAAAGTTGAATCATTGGCCGACTTTCAAAAAGAAATTACTGAATGAGAATTTTTCATAATCCAGTAATATGGATATAATCAATATTTGGGTAATGGTAAATAATAGGGACAGTCTGTGAGTTCCAGAAGCATTATAGATTTTATCTGTATTCAGCCTTCAAAGCAGGAAAAAGACAACCCCAAAATGAGATTAATCCCAGGAGATAATATATTTTAACAAAAAAAACATACATAAGAGAGTAAATTTACTTTTCTAACTGTCGACAAGTAAACTTAAAAGCATAATACCCTCCTAACAAATCTTTTAGAGCCATTCCTCCCTTTCTCACTTATCCAACCTGGTTTCATTTGATCGAACCACCCCCTCCTCCCCCTATGTGTGGATTCAAACCTGCATTTAAAGCAGAGCCTCAGCCCGAGGAGATGACAAGTGCACATTTTAAGTGGCAAACAACTGGTGGGATCCAGGCTACAATCTAAATGAGAATTTCAGAGTGGGAAGAATAATGAGACAGTTTACTTTTATTGCATCCTCAATGAGAAAAGTATTGACCCACCTTGTGTTCCTGTGGCGTTGTATCTGCAGCACAATAACAGGACGGCGGCAAATAGCACGCTCATCTGGAGGGGGAGAAAAAGGAAAGCAATTTACTGACTGAAAATGTGAACCGTTCTTTCCTCTCAAATCATTAAGGTGAAGTGCAGTTGTAATTGCTGTTTAAGGAAAAATAATCTGTACACCTAGCAGCTCACAAAAGAGCCCAATATTTGATCTACTGGCTGTTTGGTTTATACAAAAGAAATAAAAAGAGCACTTACTTGCAACGATTCAACCGTGTGAGGGAGGGACAGATGCTCCCGTCCGCCGATCCCTCTCCTATTCTTTTTATTTTAGCCACAAGTGGATCTGCAGCTTATGTTTGAGCAGCAAATGATCCCTCCAAGTAAGGCCAAAGATAACGCAAATAAGTCCTTCAGTTTTCTGCTGAGAGGAGCTGAAGAAAAGACCTTCTGTCATACTTTTCCTCGTGAGAGATATCGGCTATAATCTTGGCTACACTCTGGTTCCTCGATTGTCTGCCACTGCTGACCACTGCAGGAGACTAAAGCCTATACGGAGAGATATTGACTCAACTTCACACACGCTAAATTAGTTTTGAGGATGCTACTCAAAATCCACCGTACTGTACCCGAGTCGAGCGTGGGCCTTTAAACCTCTGGGTCAAAGGTGGATTCATCCGTAAATGTGGAAGCTGATCCACAGTTAATGGCAGGTATATTTGCATCCATAGTAGGATTGCATTTGATCCCTCAGAGGGGTCACTTAGGGCTATGGGGAAATAAAAACTCCCCATTGATTACAAAGCATCAGACTAAAATAATAGAAGGATTATGCACAGTTCTTTGTGAGAGCTTTTAAGTCAATATTTGGAGAATTTCTTTGAGATCAAGAAGCTTTCACTGCCCACTTCATAAACCACTGCAACTGCACGAGACAATGGAGCTAGTCTGTTTGCAGAAAGTTGGTTTGTTATTCCCCTTTGAAAGATAATGGCGCTGAGAATGGAACGATAACAGAAAAAAGACCAATTTCCATCATTGCTGACTTCTTTCGGTTTAATCCAATTGAATTGTCTTTATCAGTCCGTGAGGGGAATTTTGCTTGAAGAAAATAAACATGCATAACAAATCACCTCTTCCTCGAATATTTGATAACGCAAGATATGGAGCAAAATTGCACAAAGCATTTCAAACAATTCCATGTTTTTTTCACAGCTATATGAGGTATTGCCATGAAACATGCAAAAAAGTTCTACAAATTGTAATTATTTGTATTTATGTGCATGCCTTTTTGTTTTATAATGTGCTATTGTTTTCGTCTCTTTGCTGTAACAATGTCATTTCCCCTCTGTGGGACGAATAAAGGAATTCTGAAGTTACTGTGACTCTGTTTCTGAAGCACAATGTGGAGCGCTCATCAAAGGAAGCACACCACGCACCGTTTACTGCGGCACTTTAAGGAGATTTCCTCTTTGCCCACTAACGTCCCACTCTCAGCTCGGTGCCCTTTCTGTGTTTCTACTTGCTGACACATTACTTCCAAAATACACCGTCAGTGCTCATCTGCTACCCAGAGGGACATTGATCTCAGGTCAGTGAGTTTGGGCAGCCATTGAAAGACTTTAACAACTCTCCAATGCCCTTTGCCGGAGAAATTATGCATGAACTTCCTCCAAATGACATCATGAGTGTTAGCTATTTAGTTAGGCACTAACCAGAGACCTGTTGAATCGGGGAGAATGAGAGAGAGTAAAGTGTTTTTCCTTCATCACGACCAAACCCATGATTAGTTTTTTTCTGCTTTTCCTCAACATCTCATTGCAGTTGAGCAAACTTTGTTGGAAAGTCTTTTCAGAGTCAATGACTATTTTTATTTTGATGGCATTTTCCAATTTTCTGCTTAAGCTGAAGCAAAACAAAAGCAAATCAGTGGAACTAGAGTAGAGATATACATTTTATGAGACTGTGGGAAAAAAGTAGCATTTTGCCTTTTAGTTAGATTAAATATATTAACTTAATGAAGACAAATCATGTATTTTTTTCTAAAGCTATCTGTCCTTTTTTGACAGTCTTGCAATGACGAAGACCGTGCAAATTGGTTTGAAGCCAAAGAAAAGAGAAAGAGATCTTTGGTTTTACTTTGTCACTTTCCAAGTTTAGAATTGTTTTATTTTAGCTGCACAACAAAACACCGGGTTGATTGATTGCCTTTTCAGATCATTAAGAACATCGATTTAACATTGAGTGACTGTTGGTGAAGTTTTTCTTAAGAAAAAGGAAAACAATTGTGTTAATACACAAAACATCAATAAAATAAAAGGTAGTCATAATAAAAAAAAGGCTTTTTTACTTAGATGTTTTAATTATCCTTTCCGAGGCTTTTTCAAATCTGTATCCAATAATCATTGTAGGTTCAGTCGCATACATGACTTATCATCTGCAACCAAAAGCATTCATCAAATGTGATTAAAACATAAAAAGAGAAATAAATCCATAATACATGATGTTGCTAAACATGATTAAACTTCACTTGTAATTGTGTTTTGCATAATTTACTCGCTGTTTAAAGCACTCCTTTCTCATACTAACATTTTAATTTAAAACTTCTCACTGGAAAAGTGGTTATTTTGAGAATGCTGCTGTTAACAGCTTGCATAATGCATGGAGGAGAGAAAGGGCTCTTTAAACCTCATTTTAACTCGACAGCGGCCTGTCACCAAATATCTGGATTGTGCTTGCAGTTGTTTCACAGTGATGTGGGGGATGCTATGTAGGAGGAGTGACAACAAAAGAAAATACTACAGCGTGCCTTATTTGCTTCTTTCTTTATAAAAGAAAAATCATCCTGCTGTCTGGTGGGCTGTTTTAAACTGTTTCAAAAAAGGGAAAACATCTAAGAAAAAGCAAGTTTCTTCTTCTTTTACGTCATCCTTTCTAAGATTAGCTCCTATTTCTCATATCTGGTATGAGCCTCCTCTCAGGCAGGTGATCTGGTGACTCATAATGATGTAGATGAGAGCCATTAGTCTGAGCTGTGTGAATAAAAGGAGGCTGGAGGCCTTGTGGAGGTGGACAGCTCTGTCTCAATATAAACCTGGACCCTCCAAACTGAAAGGTGTTCACTTACAGCTTAACCCGAGCACAAGGAGCAACTGGAGGAAGAAACCTTCAGGGGGTTATTAGAGAAGCTTGACTGAAGTTTCTTTTGTCACAACACCTGTCCCAGGTACCTTTGCAGCTCTCAGGTTTGGTACACACACTGAGCATGGGACAGCTGGTTCCCTCCATTAGCCTTCTTATAAATCTGGTGCTTCAGTTGGATGGCGTTGAAGCTCCGATGGCTGGATGTCGTCCAGATGCTCGGCCCTGCTGCTGCTCTTGGTTTCCCTCCAGCGACATGAGCTTTCCCAAGCCAACATTGGTGGAGTCCGCAGAGCTTTCGTTGCCACTCGGGCACCGGGAGGAGCTCCGGGATGCCCGCTGCCGGAGGTTCTGAGAAATAGAGCGATGGAGGTTCTTCATGGAGGAACTGGCTGCCATGGTGGACACCCAGGGGTGACGGAGAGCTTGGTCTGCGCTCAGTCGAGAAGCGGGGTCCAACGGCAGCAGGCGATGGATGAAGTCCTTGGCTAGGTTGGACACTGAGGGCCAAGGCTGTGGAAAAAGGAAAGAGAGTGACTTCCGTCAGTGTGAATATGTGCACTCGCACCACATTTCAACCTACGCACAGACACTCAGGAACCTGCTGTCCTGTAAAAGCGCCTGCTGGGTATTCAGACGAGGCACCTGCACACATTCAAAGACAGGATTTCATTCTAACACACAAATTAAAACTAGGATCCCTGTGCCGTGCAGACCCAACAAGCAGAACTAACCTCAAAGGAAAGCTGAATGTCACCGGTCAAAGGGAAGCAGCAGTGTTGGCTCAAATAATTTGAAAACTGGGAAAGAAGGACAGCCCTGCCATATGTTTGGGATTTGGGCACATGTTTATTCTAAGCCTGCATTAGCTTCTTAATAAAGGCACCACAGATGAGCCTCGCTGGGTTCTTTTGCTGTTTGTTTACTCAAATAGCAAATCATTCCCCTTGTCATGAGGGAAGCTGACATTCAAGAATGCTTTAAAATCTGCCATGCCATCTTTCCGAGACAGAAGGCATCAGGATTATTATCATAAATCACAATTTTTTCATTATTCATCGTGACTTTGGTTCTCTGTCATGAAAACTCAATTGTGTACGCCTGCCACAGGAAGTGATGACCTTTGAGCTTCTGTCCTATTTTAATTAAGGAAGAACAGATGGATATTTGGCCACAACACCATGGATTGATTACTACACATGCCTCAAAGGCTCAGGGGCCAAAAGGGTCAGATGCTCCCTGGCCTTCACCAAAAAACAGGATGTCACTCAAAGAGACACATTCCAAACAGCAAAAGACTAAAATTAACTTCAAAGATTTCAAAGAAACTGAGAAAGACCAAGAACAATTATAAAGACACAGAGAATGAATTGGTACAAGTGAAAAACAACCCAAAATAGACACAACATGAACACAAGAGACACAAGTCAATAAAAAAAACAAGTTACAAAAATTGGCAAAATACAACTATGTGCAAACAGTTAATACAAAAGACAAAAATAATTGTATTACAACATCGCCCAGATTAACTACAAAAAGACTTGTGATGACAATAAAAAGAGGCAAAACAGACACAAACAGCCTCTAAGCAAATATAAAAAAAAAAAGATTAAAAAAAAGGAGACAAAAATGACCACAAAGAGGAAAATATGTTAAGTAAGAGATGCGAATAGATCACAAAGAAACACAAAATAACTACAAATAGTAGCAGAATATTTAGAAAGTAATGTAAAATAACAACAATGAGACTCAAAGATACAACCAAGAGGCCAAACTTCTATAAAGTATGTGTGTCTTGCTCATGTGTCTTTCCGATTGTTTTATAATCCACCCATACACAACACAATAACCTTTATCAAAAAGCACGGATGACTTCGTCTACATGATGTTTGGTTGTGTAAATGTCAGGTAATTATCAGAGACTTATCGCTTGTATCAGTTGTTTTTAACATGAACAAATGTTTCCACCAATCAGCCGTGTTACGCTCCACTGTGTCTGTCTGAGGTGGATAAAAGCTAAATACAGTAAAACCTGCGTGTGCAGAATCCTCTCATTCTTCGCTCAACCTGGCACAGACTAAATCGCTCTCTTTAGGGAGGTCTCGCTCTCCATTTTAATCCTGAAATGCATTTCTCTCCCCCTTTTTTGTCTCTCGCCGAGTAATGACAATTAATCAAGCATGAAATTGACAATCGTAGGACTGAGAGGAATTTCAAAGAAGCTGGGACTCGCTTATTCTCACGGTGCACTGACTGGAGAGGAAGTGTGTGTGCGAGCACAGCGCAGAGTGCGGAGCCGAAATGCTTCTCACTCAAACTTTCTTCTCATTGTGTTGTTATTTCACACCTGAGAGGCAGGCAGAGTGACACTCGGCAGCCTGGGAAGGAGAGAAAGTGTCTGATTGAGCTCCCACGACCAACAAGTCTGACTTCCCTCCTTCTCCGGTGCTGTTGGTGATTTCATGTCGCTCCTTATCTGCTGTGCCATGAAAAACACATGTGATGGCAGCCGAGGCTAACAGGGGCCTTCTGGTCGAGACGGGGGGGGGGTTATATACTTGAGTTATTCTTATGCTACTTCATACTTTTACTCCACTATATTTGAGAGGTAAACATGGTTCTCTTTACTCCACTACATGTTATATCAGTTACTAGTCACTTTTTATACATGAAAAGAAATGATATGCTTAAATGATATGTTAGTCCACTATGTAAGTCCAATAAATTGGCTCCCTGTTGAAAAACTGCAACATTCAAATGCTTTTAAATTTATTTGCAGGTGACAAAAAAACATGAAAATACAATAAATAGTAATATATTACAATATTACAATTCTGCGGAATAAATATACTTTTGATACTTTAAGTACTAAAAGTAGTAGAAAATACTTCTCTACTTTATGTTAAGGGTTAGGGTTAGGGTCACTGGGATTCTAGCATTTGCAGACCATGTACATAAAAAACTATAACACACTACAGGAAAGAGAAAATAAAGCATAACAGGGCCTCTTAAATTAGAAATGGAAGTAATATGAAATCCCTTTTTATACTTTAAGTATATCTTGATGCTAATATTTTGTATTATTACTTTTAACCAATATTATTTCTACTGAGTACTTATTCCCCCTCTGCTGGAAGATGGTGAAGCTCAGTGGGAGTAATGCGGGAAAAAACAAGTTTGCTCCCCTCCTGCTTTCAACATGGTGCACCTAAAGGAGAAGAGACATAACTGTGGTTCCTGGAACGTAGCCACCTGCAGGAAGTTTATCTCTCTGCCTTATTTCAAACATTTCTCACGTCAAAATACACAAAGGCTTTATTGTGTTTGCAGCAGAGGTTGAGAGCCGATGTTATACATCACTGTTGAGCTAGACCAAGAGAAGGGAGAGAGAGGGGGGGGGGGGAGTGCAGATATGGCACAAGCAAGGGGAAACCTACAGGGCTTAGCAACATCTTGTTAGAGTGAATAAGAAGCTGAATTTGTTTGCGGCGTGCTACATCTTTACCTGACAGAGCGGTAATTGCAATAAATGAAGAAAATGCTAGAAGGTTGGATTAAGCTAATGTGATCACGAGTTTGAGAAATGAACTACTTCACCCGCCTCACAATTCACTCAGATCTGATTCACTTGGCAGCATTTCCTGAGAAACAAAGCCAAGTTTAAATATGCCTCGTCACAATGGGTCCAAATGGGAAACACTGCTACTACAGGTGAAAGCCTTTTATAACGGAATTTGGTCATCAGGATACAAACAAAGGTAACTGTATTGTATTTTAGTAAAAAAGAAAAAAATGACTACTATGAGAATTACAATCCATTTGGAAACACTGAACGATATATAACGAAGAAACGCTTTGAGACTATAGCGTATAGCTTCATTTACAGTTCATTTTCATGGCTAAAATAATGTTTTCATTACATCGCTTTTCTAGGAGAAAAAGGGAAAAAACAATACACTTTGTTACAACCTGTGCCTTCCAGCTGAGTCAAAATCTAATTTGAAGAAGCATTACAAAAGGTACATGCTTTGTAGCCTAAATTATACACTTAAGTAGAAGTAACAGTAAGTAATCAGAATATTCCTCTTTTAGTAGTAACCCTCCCCCTCCCCTGTTTAAAACACTATGGCCTTGTCGAGGCTGGATGTGTTCAAATGGTGCCCAGAAGGGGGCAGGCTGGGCTTACCATTACCCAGACTGCACTGCTGCTGATATATGTTTGGCTTCGACCTGGAGTCTTTAATAACACACGGCAGAATGCGGAGGAGGTTACCTGCTGGCTGCTTTTCTGGCCTGAGCTGATGCACAGATTCGTGCTTTACTGCCACGACACGAGCACACATGCACAGAACCCCCCCCCCCCCCCTCCCACTCTAACACACCTCAGATGAAATGCCCTTATTCTGAGCGAGGGAAACGCTTCGTGCTACGTGCGGGGAGCGGATTGAGTGATAAGGTGTGAAAAGCCCCCGAGGCTACAGGCGCTCTTCCTCTGTCCTCTCCTTTCTCTTTTCCACCCTGCTATCCATCCCTAACTCCCCCACCCTCCCACTGTTGAGTAAACACATCAGTGTGAGTCTGCTCTACAAGTCTTCAGGGGCTGTTGCACCAGTGGGGGAAATATACCCAGGGTGTGTGTGTGTGTATGTGTGTGTGTGTGTGTGTGTTGATAGTGCAGGGAAGGGGTGGGGGCTGCTGGGGATGCAGAGGGACCTGTTTCATGGGCAGGTGCCGGGGCCCTTTTGCATTTCTTAGCGAGTCTTACCCCCTTTTTAGTGCTGAATCCCCCAACACACACACACACACACACACACACACACACACACACACACACACACACACACACACACACACACACACACACACACACACACACACACACACACACACACACACACACACACACGATACTTTTGTAAGATTGTTTGTTTGTAATTTCAGCCCCTGAGTATTAATTTGCATAATAGAGAACAATAGTTACTTTCTTTATCTGTCCATCTGGAAAAGTGATACCTGCAGTTATTCCTTTTTTTACACTTCTGTTGCTCGCTGCATGTTTATGGATGAGCTTCTGATGACAGTATTCTACGATCTGCTATTGATGAACCACAAACACATGCTCAAAATATCTGTGCCAGCTATAGATATATATATAAGCCTCTACACACCTGCACTGCAAGCTTCAAACCACCTATGCATAGTGCTTGATGCGTGTCCGAATAGAGAAAAGATATTTAAAAAACATTTTTTTTTATGTTCATGACACAGACTTTAAACCAAGATGAAAACAATACCGCGTTTTCCATTTTGGCAAGAACACCCTGAATGCCTCACGTATGGGTTAACCCTAAAAACTTCAAAAACCCTCCAGAAGGAGTTTCTCTCCCACACACTCCTCCCTCCCTGCCTGAAACGCTTCGATTGGATCCCTTGACGACTTCTGTATCATAATGACATCACTATGGAATTTCCAGCTTATATGGCTAGTGCTCCAACACATTGTACACAATATAAAAAGGGGTTGGACATTTCCATCTCTAAGCATTTGCTTCTTATGCGTTCCGTGTTTGGCTCCAGCGGCTCATGATCATGACCCGTTTTATTGTATGTTTCATGATCATTTCTAAAGCTCCCTTGACAATTTGACTGTCATTGCTCATGTGAGCTCTATTCTGGTCCGTAGACCTGTTTCAACATGTCACAGTAGGAAAAGCACGGGTGTCGGTAATCAAATGAATGATGGGGGAATTTCGCTTTTTTTCCCCTCATTTAGCTGCCTTGGTTTCAGGGTCCTGGTACTGTGCTCATTGGCACGACATAAAGAGAACAAGAACAGAGCCATTGGAAATACTATTAGTGCTCTCTGTGCCTTTCTTACTATGACAGGTCAAAATGTCTGCTGTGAAAAAGGCCCATTGTATTGACATCCAATTAAGTTGACAAGTGTCATCTTGAGCCAACAAGACATTACCCCATCACATCTATGAAAGAAGGTCCCTGTTTCTCTTTGTTGAGCTGGTGGACAGCTCGTTTCAGATGAAACTCTTCAAATCAAGTTTAATATGAGATGGGAATTGCTCAGGTCGTTGAAACTGTTCTCGTCCCGAAGAGAAGCACCCTTCTGAGTGACATGAAGAACCCTTCTGAAGACGGAGGCCCACATTTTGTGCATACTTGTGAACCTTCATCACACATTACAGCATTATTACCGCAGTGTGTGTGTGTGTGTGTGTGTGTGTGTGTGTGTGTGTGTGTGTGTGTGTGTGTGTGTTGTGTGTGTGTGTGTGTGTGTGTGTGTGTGTGTGTGTGTGTGTGTGTGTGTGACTGGGTTGTCAGTCTATCAGAGAGGGTGGATACTTGCGCATGACGCAGAATAAGTGTCTTGTCAACATGGAGATGTGATTGATGGCTCTTCCCATCAAGCCCTGCACTGCTACTCAGCCATGTGATGTCTTCATAATGTCATGATGTGAATTCACACATTGATTTCTTTACCGTATCTCAGTGTACAGTAAGATGCTATATGTGAGGTCCTACGAAATATGTTTTTTAAGCTCTGCTCCCATGGACACATGTGAGCCGTGTCGAAAGCCACCATGAGAAACGTGAAATAATCCATTGAATAAACTCAAGGATTTTGCACTATTGTTGGGTTGTTGGTCAATGCAGCGGTAAACACATGGATAATAGTCCAGGGCCTATGTAAGGGAGCCTATTGTATGCCAGACTAAAATGTCAGGCTGCATCCCTGAGAATCGGGCCCGGCTTAAAGTCCAGTGAATAATCCAGCCTTGGGTGTAATCAGCGTGAAAGAACAAGCTCAGAGTCGCCGGCGAGCTCCACAGAATAGGCTGTTAAAAATACCCACTTCAGTTGTATGACGAAGGAAAGGGAATAATAAAAACATGCCAGGCCGCAGTTCTCCCATTTCCGAAAGCAAACCCTAGCCGGAATTTAGCATATATATATATATAAACTAAAATACTCAATAACAGGTAAAGTAAACTTACATCTCCATGGAAGCTGTATTTCCCTCTCACGATGGACCTGTAGAGGCGCGTCCGGCTGTCGTCTTCAAACGGCATGGACCCACTCAGCACGATGTAGGCGATCACCCCCAGGGCCCACATGTCCACAGCACAGGAGTAGGGTCTACTTAGCAACACCTCAGGGGCCATGTACTCAGGGGTCCCACAGGTGGTTCTGAGGGACCAAGTTTCTGCTCCTGAGTGATCTCCGGATGAGACCTCGGACCCTGCGCCACCAAAAGTGGCCAGTCCAAAGTCTGTGACGAGCAGTCTGGAGTCAGCCCCTGGATGGTAGTACAGCAGGTTCTCAGGCTTCAGGTCTCTGTGGGTGATGCCCAGATTGTGGAGATACGCCACCCCAGTCAGCACCATCCTGAGGGCCTGGGTGGCGTCCCTCTCCGTGAAGTGGCCCCTGCTGACCACGCGGTCCAGTAGCTCGCCCCCTGTGGCCAGCTCCAGCACCATGTAGACCCTCTGCGGGAACTGAAACACCTCCATCAGGTGGATCACGTGAGAGTGTCTCACCCGCTGCAGCACCGCCAGCTCCGAGGCGCACACCTCGCGGCCCTCGGGGCCCTCCACCTCCATCATTTTAATGGCGAAGGGCTGGCGAGTCGCCCTGTGCTCCACGCGCACAACGCGGCTGAAGCTCCCCCGGCCGATCAGAGCCTTGATGTCGTATCTGACAGGACAAGAGGGGAAAGATGAGTCATTACAGCGTTAGTATCTCATGATACATGTTACTCAGCGCTGAATGTCCCTCACTGCAGATGCAGCTTTGATGTATGGGGAGATATCTGCATGTTGTACAGTGAAGTCGATGAGACAAATTCATATAAGAATACACAATGATTTAGATCCCCAACAAGGCAATATATAAGACTCCACTAATCAGATGTAGAGGGAGATGCGCACTGACATCAGTTTCCGAGCTTTAATTGTCTCCGCTCTCTCATCTGACAACAGGAAGCCAGTGTTCAGGTATAATAAGGCCTCTCAAATGAAAACTGTTACTGCTAATAAATTGTGTGGCATGAAGGTTGGCGTTGGCAGGCTGAGTTAATGAAAGAAGCCGGTGACATTAGCAGTCTTTCATGAGCACTGTGAATGCCTTTAATAAGTCACTTCACCTTGTGTCGTGCTGTGAAAGATCTATTTTTTAATGAAAAATTCTCTTCTCACAGGGCTGAGATAGTAGTACTTGTTTACAGTGCAGCATTTATATCTTTCAAATGAGAAATAAGAAACTCAGAAGCAAGTCGATTGTCGAGTATGATTACAAAGGTCTTCAAAAATATTAGTATTATTTATTTGTTTTGTGGCAGAATAGGGCGCAATTTAACATAATTGATGTTGGCAAATAATATAATTTAATGACAGTTGCACTACAAAAACAAAATGTGTCATATTGCATTTCTGGGTTGAAGGATTACTTCGATAATAGGGTTGTCAAAAAGTAGATCCGCTCACCTTGCTGTCACACGTGGATCAAACTTGTCCTTATACTTTGCGACTCTGTCCTGCTGTCGTCCCTCTCTGAGTATCTGCTGCTGTCCGCTTGATGCAGGTTGAAGATTTTTAGCACTTGTGGAAAACCATGGAGCTCTTCTCTTCTTTGCATGCTTGTTCGACTCATCATCACCGTGAGCTTTACTAAAGGCCACGAGAGACTGCACCACACTCACATAGCCCTTCTTGGATGCCTCAGGCAGCACCTTAGTGTTCCCACAGCCCATCACTCGATGATCAAGCCATGCAGGGGACAGAAAACATCTCCTGTAAGCTGAATGGAGCTCAGAAATAAGAAGAGTCCACACTGCAGCAGGTATTCCTTCATGCAGGTGTTACTTGAGGTGTGCAAACAACAAGCTCCTCCCACAGCAGCAGGGAGGTCGGCAGGTGTTTGAAACGCACCATCTCACTCACATATGTGATAGAAGTGTCAGGTAAACGAAAGTGTTTTGAAGCTATTGTCAATCCTCTCGTGGTAGATTAACGTAACAAGCAAAGCATGAAGGAGAAAATTGTGAAAGGAAGAACACCAACCAAGCCAAGATTATAGTGACGCTCCAGGTAACAGTAGAGCAAATATTCACGACCTACTTTAAGCTGTTATACGTGAGTGTATCAAAATGCATAAAAAATGACTATCTTTTGTTGTTGTTTTTAATTGTGAGGTGGTGAAAAATGACATTCGGTGTATTTAGTACTCCATTTCAGATTATATTGTGAGAGGGCATACACAACAAAACATGCTGTGAAATATGATTAACAAAAACAATCAACAAACCTGAGGAAAAATAGGAAACTATGATGTGTTTTCTCGATGACATTGATTTTACAGCTATAGTCACCAAATGAGACATATTAATATAAGATTGATAAAAAATGAATCACCAAATATCCAGATTTTTGTTCCTACATTTCACTAGATTCCCATAACTCAACTCCCTAGCCCTTTGAGGACATTATCAGGGTTATGTTTTTAATTTCAATTTTTTAATATACCATATGAAGCTGCTTTTTACAACCATTGACTCATGTATCTATCTGTTTTCTCAGGCAGATTTGTGCCTCTTATGATGAGTAAGCTAACTTTCATGTGGAACATTTGTGGAGTGCTGCGGATGTATTTATAAAATGTGTGCATATTGCTACTAGGTAAATTATTCTTCTGGCACTGTCAACATAACGGCATGTAACGCTCAGATAAATCAACTTATCTTCGAGTCAAATCAGCTACTGTTACATTTGTGGTGATGTACTCCCTTGAGCAACGATAGGAACCGTAGCATTTCTTGTTTTTGCATTTATACCTCGAGATAAAGCACCCACATACAACTCATCCTGTCAATCTGTCAATGGCAGCATAAAAAACTCATTCTCACAACCACATTTCGACTATTTTAGAAAACCCTGCAGATGTATTTACCTTTATAAAAGTGAAAAATAGCACACTATATGACACACAGATGACTGTATGTGTTATTGTGTTTGAAATTAATGCAGTAGTATATGTTTGTTGTATTGTCGAGCACAGTAGACCACACAGTGTCCCTGTCAAGCCTATAACTAGCGCTAAGCTACTTTTCTATTTCGTGAATGATGTTGTGCTGCTGTCAAAATGTGTCCATAATTTTTCTGAGAATAGATCAGCAGAAAGGGAAAATGTAAAAAGCACACAGGCTCCTCTGCCTGCCTGCCTCTGCCCCTGTACATTGTTTAGATCAACTAAACCGTGCAGAAACTGAGGAAAACATGCACATATTTATTCATACAAGACTGAGCCGAGGAAGGTAGGGATCACAAAGTGGGAAGAAGTACCTACCGCTGGTAGTGTGCTGTGCACCGAGTTTAAATTATTCTCTTTCACATGAGCAGGGCAGAAATAATGTGGTCATATGAGGTTTGTATAATGAGTTCATGTTTATGAATAAATCCTGCAGCATGTTTGTATGTTTGTATGTTTGCATGCTACAAACGTTCTTTCTGAAACTTTTAATGGGTTCGGCAATATCGTAGTTTAGTCACATCCTTTAATTCAAAGTTTTGTTGTCTTTCTGCATTTGCTGTTAAAGTTAACTTCCTGCTATGTGTTTAAGTGCTAGCTATTGCTACTTATGCGAACATCTTCTCTCCTTTTATACTTATAAAGAGATATTTGCTGCTGCTGCTGCTGCTGCATGAGAAACATGCAAAACACTGGATTTCTTCAGAATGCTCTATTGTTTAAGTTAACTTCCTGTTGTTGGTGATTTTTAAGTGGTAGATATTGCCGTTCGTCTTCACTTCCTTTGTACTCATTAAGATATATATACTGGTGTTGCCGCATGAGGGACAAGCCCCATTTGCTGCCGTGTGCCTGGAGGATTATTCCCACTAAAGGCCTACCAGACGCCGAGTGTTTAGAGGCAGCAAATGGAAAAGCTTTCACAAAATGAGTGGAGGTTTAATCGCTATTATGCGTTATTCATTGGCAGTTAATAGGATGGAAATATTTATTTATATAAAAAAAATGTCATAGATGCTATTATAAACGGCTGTGTCTTTTTAAAAGGTGTAAATTGGGTTGTCATTGGAAAGAAAGATAGGCTGCATCATGAGTTGCTGCATTTTTTTCTTTACCCAAAGGGGATACTGGGTCCTATCAGTCTGTTATGCTGTCACACAATGTCTTCTCAAAGGACTGCACACACACTTATACCCTGTGAAAGAGAGAGAGTGAGAGAGAGAGACATAAAGCCCCAACGCCCCATCCATAGACAGACACAAAGAGCCAACAGAGGATAGACATCACATCAGCACTGAGGTGGTAAATCGCCCTTCAGAAGCATTCCTCAAGGGAGTCAGCAGTTCAGCGTTTATCGAACCACTATCTGATTACTAAAAGGCTGTCCTCCGTTATAAATGAACCCACAACATGTGTGTGGTGTTGGAAGCGCAGGGGCCTTGGGAGTAAAAGCCATTATGGGGGGGTGTGAATCAGTTTAGGCCAGAGGGGCGGTCAGAGCAGCTGCCACGTGCCACTCAGTTCATTACTGCTGTTATTGTAGTCAGAGGATGTGAGACCTGTGTGTTAGGGGAAGGACTGCGGCTACAGCTAACTTAAAGCTGGGGACTGAGGTGGCTCACAAGCCGAATGAAAGGCTGCAGGAGAGCTGTTGTTCCTAGGTGTAAAGCATAATAAAAAAAAAAAGATGGTTCGAAAGAAAGAAAAGGTTTGCCACTTGAACTTTGAAAATGTAAGCTTGCAGCATGAAGCCATTTTGGAAACAACGGTTACATAACTTATACAATTGTTGCTCTTTATTTTAATATTGCTTGAAGGAAGTCTGAAAATAAAGAAGATAAAAGTCTTTAAGTCAATTGTTTTCCTATCTTGGTGCAGTAGAACTTGACTGACCTGAGCCTCTTGAATTGTAAAGGAAATTAAAATGAATGCAATCTTTTTTAAAACAACCGTATTTTAAGGTAATTTGGGTGTTGAAATAGTTGGTTTCTTGTGTGAAAATAATACAATTGTAACAGAGATAAAGAAAGGAAGAATAATAAAAAAGACCTAGCATAGAGCCTTGTGGCACTCCATAAGAGACGAGCACAGAATAAAATATAATCAGTACTAAAATAATGTCTTTGAGCCTCGGTTAAAATGGCAACAACTGCATAAAATATTCCAAGATCAAATGATCAACATACGCACCAGAGAGGTTTCTCCAACCGGTGAAAAAGCACTAGTCTCAAAATGAAGTATGTCAGTGCACAGATCAGGTATTCAGGTCTGATCCTGTTTTTTGTTCTGTCCTAAAATCCTGTGCACCAGATAAGTCCTTCCATAGAGACAATGCATGGGTTGATAAAAAAACACTGCTGCTGTTGATCAAGC